CCCAGGCACTCGGGTATCAACCGGGAAAGCAAGACACAGGACACGCCCTTGTATTCCCGAGACAAAGCCCATGTATATCCGTGCTTGTCCTCAGGCACCCGCTCCTCGGTGCATCCCGCTTACCCTTAGTTAACCGTTCTTCTTTTCCCATTTCTGGGCGGGGAGCTTGGCGGGGCGGGACGGGGGGGTTGGATGGATGGGGTACTGGGATTGGTTGTTAGGTAAGGGAAGTTAGGTGCGATTGAGATGGTGGCTTAAGGCGATGGGATCATAAGATGATAATGTTGATGTTGGCTGACCAGTAACACAGGCATCAGGATCGAGAATCGCTATCTGGACTTGTGTTGTTCCAGAAATGTTAAGGCCAGCTCATGATAACGAGGGCATGACTCGTGGTGTTCCTGCTGTGGTGGGGAGTTGGAGCATGCCAAGCCTTCCATGATGATTCTCTTGCAGACATAGCGAGGTATAAACGGTAACGACGGGAACGCCGTTTACGCTCAAACAGCTTGAGTTTTACTGGCCTGGGCGATAAGGGTTTGTTGGGGGGAAAATGATGCTGTGGCTGGGGCGGTTGCCCACCTTCATCCTTCGGCCAAGCCAAATCCTGCTCATGGTGATATTGTGAGGTGAGGACCACGCCCTCATTGGGGCATGTGAGCGCGTGATATCCTCGTTTAGGAACTGCCAGATGCTATTGAGAGGATGGTCCGACCAGACAACAATCAACTAACTCTTGTGCCAAGGCCACGGGAAAGCAGCGGGTCAAGCCAGCGGTAATTCCATAGCAGAAAATATCTCTCCACGATGTTGCGCCAGGTAAAGCTTCCGCCGACAAACGAAGCCTCGCCGTCAGCCTGCTCGGCCATCTTGACCTGTTCTGTCAAGCGGAGATAAGCTTGAGAAGGGTCGGCGCCGCGCCGTACTGCACAACCCCCCCTTCTCGAAACTCACCTGCGCAGCCATTGGAGGAGCCTTCTCACATGGAATATGGATACATGGCGTCAGGCCATCGAGCTGCCTGTTCGGGTATGGCCGAGTTACATTGGGATGGCAGCATGGCTGGCTCGTGAAGTGCCACAAACCGAGGCGGACATGGCGAGTGGAGAGGGGCAAAGACGGGCGCCCAGCGGCGCGGAAGGCTGGGCGCCATGGCAGCGCGGCGGCAAAATTTGCGTCCATAGGACACAGTAAATTGCGCTATATACTACTATGTAGTCGTCCTACATAGTAGTAGCATTGGCGCTTGCTTTGACGTCCAAGGTTTCTTTTTGCTGCACTTGGTTTTTCCTTACGGGCCGAAGCTGAAGGCTTCGCGATGATGCCTGCACTGGTAAGCTTTGGTTATCAGCGTCGCACGGGAGCTGTGGCACAGCGCGCGTTGTCACGATAAGAGAAGAGCTAGGGGGGTCTCAGGACACACGAGCGTGAATGGCCGAACCATCTATCTTGCAGGCGTTGTATGTGGGATCGGCAGTGTCGCCAAGTTCCTAAGCACTGTATCCAAGTCATCGCCTAGGCCGTTACACCCAGTCCCCATTGAATCTTGGCTCCAATCAACACCTATGAAAGCGGTGAAAAGCTTAACTGCGTGGTTGATTTCGGCGTCGCCCCCAATTCGTTCAAGTCACAAGCTGGTGCTGAAAGCGGCCAGCGCAGGCGGGCCTTTGGTGTTGGGTCTTGACCATGGAGCAGATTCCCACTAGACTAGGCATCTGGACACCTGCTTGATAGAGGAACCCACAAGGAATACCAAGACCGCGCTGGGCACAAGGACTGCTATTTGCCGCTCGTTTACTACACCCGAGACGGGAATTCTCGAGTATAATTGAAACCGAGTGCCCGGTGCCCTCGCAGGAAGAGCAGCATCAGCTCGCTCCTCTCATCCCCTGGTTGGAATTTGCGACAACATCTGCTAATCATGGCGGCAAATGCTGGCTCCAACGACGTTGACATGGCCATGTCTCACAAGCCCGAGACTGCCAAGCCCCTCTATGAACTCGATGAGAAGCGTGCCCTCTCTGAGACACGCTCGCCTTCGTCCAACGACCACGAGTACCCAGGAGAAGTCTTTGAGGCTGACCTGGAGGGTGAGGAGCCCACCGAGGAGGAACTGAAGACTCTTCCTCGTGTTTCTGGAAAGATTCCATGGACCGCCTTCACCATTGCTTTTGTCGAGCTCTGTGAGCGTTTCGGCTACTATGGTTGTCAAGTGCTGTGTAAGTTGAGATTGAATCGCACTTCTTAATCTCTTTACTGACTCTCAAAAGACACAAACTTCATCCAGCAGCCTCTTCCTGTGATCGACGGTGTTGTGCAGACAACCGGTCGTGACCCAAGATCAGAGGGTCAGCCTGGAGCACTTGACATGGGCCAACGAGCCTCCTTTGGTATCGGTCAATTCAACTCTTTCTGGGCCTATACCACGCCCATTATCGGCGCCATCATCGCTGATGAGTACCTTGGTCGTTTCAACACCATCTTCGTCGCCATCGCCTTCTCAATTCTCGGTCACATCCTGCTTATCATCTCCGCCATTCCTCCTGTTTTGACTAGCGGCAATGCCATTGGCCCATTCATTCTTGGTGTCATTACTCTTGGTTTTGGAACTGGAGCTTTCAAAGCCAACATCTCGCCTTTGATCGCTGAACAATACCGCCAAAGCAAGCCTCGTGTTATCATTGACCCTAAGACGGGCGCGCGTGTCATTTCGGACCCCAACATCACCATCTCCCGTATCTTTTTGTACTTTTACATGGTAAGTTGCTAGTCAACACAGCTAAAAAAAAAAGATCTTGCCCTAACAGTCGCTCAGTTCATCAATACCGGTGCCCTCACCGGTCAAATTTCCATGGTCTACGTCGAAAAGTACGTTGGTTTCTGGTGCGCTTGGTTGCTCCCTACGATCATGTTCTGCTTGTGCCCTATCGTGCTCTGGGTATGCCGCAACAAGTACCACCGTACCCCACCCACCGGATCTGTCCTCATCCGCGCCATCAAGCTTTTGGGACTCGCACTCAAGGGCAAGTGGTCGATCAACCCTGTTCAGACTCGCAAAAACTTCAAAGCCGACAACTTCTGGGAAGATGTTAAGCCCAGCCACCTTGGCAGCAACAAGCCAAGCTGGATGCAATTTGATGACGCTTGGGTCGACCAAGTCGCTCGTGGATTGAGGGCTTGCTCTTGCTTCACCTGGATCCCACTTTATTGTAAGTCTCTCTTTGGGCTCAGCCCTTTTGCCAAACTCAAGAGCTAATAATGTGAAAAGGGCTCTCGTACAACCAGATGAACAACAATCTCACCTCGCAGGCTGCTACCATGACACGTAACGGTGTCCCCAACGATGTCATCACCAACCTGAACCCCATCTCTCTCGTCATTTTCATCCCAATTGTCGACAATTTCCTGTATCCAGCCCTCCGCAAAGCCAATATCCGCTTTACACCTATCAAGCGCATGGCTTTTGGTTTCATCCTCGCTTCCTTCGCCATGGTGTCTGCAGCTGTTATTCAGCACTACATCTATAAGACCGGTCCTTGCGGCAAGTTCATGAACAGCTGCGACGACCCTGCCCCTATCAACGTCTGGGTGCAGTCCGTTCCCTATGTCCTTGTCGGTTTCTCTGAGATCTTCACTTCCATCACCGGTCTCGAATTTGCTTTCACCAAGGCACCGAAGAACATGCGCTCCCTTGTTACTTCATACTTCCATTTCATGAGCGCCTTCTCCAACGCCATTGGTCAGGCTTTCGTGTCGCTGTCTGAAGACCCCCTGCTGGTGTGGAACTACACCACTGTTGCTATCTTGGCGTTCTGCGGTGGCATCCTCTTCTGGTTCCACCAGCGCAAGACTGACAAGCAGGAAGATGCTCTCAACATGCTTCCCGACTCGACTTATGTTGGCCCACAACGCAAGCGTGTTGGTGAGACTGAAGAGGGCATTGCAGGACACAACGTTGAGGCGCACGTCAGGACTTAGGTTGCGTGTTGTAATAATGAACCTGGGACGATGAATACGCAAGTCGTGTATATGTACATGATGTTGTGTATGGATTTCAAACGATTGTAGATACCTAATTGCTTTTGTAGTTAAGCATGAATGAGCTGAAGCTCTCACCATACTGAACGCTTTATGTTTACCTTGTTGACTTTGGCATGTGAAGTGACTGAGACCTATCCAGAAGTTGTCAATATACGAGACAGGCATTGATCGTACCCAGCAGCAGATCAAAATACCTTTCATCCTAGTTTAACGCGTTCTAACAAAGGTCAAGCCAAAATAACTTGAATGAAAGCTCTCACGTCTAGACTAAGCCAACTGACAGTACCATGTCTCATTTTCGCTGTTATTGAAATGATCATAATTTTTGAGGTTATTTGATTTCCTCTTATGTTATCTTTGCTACGACGTCATTTCCGCTGATCCACATAGGAAGACCCACTTCTCGCATCTCGTCATACGTTCAGACACAACATACCCAGCTCAGCTTGCTATTGCCTAGTAAAGTATTTCTAGAACCATTCGTCATGTGACAAGAATTGGCATTGCAGAACAACATCGACAGTCCTCCAAGCTGATTGCTGACACTGATGAATCATAGCAGAAAATCATCGATGCACCAAACTAAAGACACACATTACTCTGGACACCCCTCAAAGTCTTCAATTCGTTTATCTTTGAAGGTCTAGAGTGTTGAAGAAGAATTCAAATTCACTCCACGCTACACTCTTTTCTCATTCCCTTCGCCTTTCACTGACTAAATCACAAGCCCCAAGCGATTTCTCTTCACACCTCACACTTCACCACTCACCAAACGCCCATCCCAGAATAAAATCTCCTCTATAAAAACATCAACAACGCCATGGAAAAAACCTTCCCCAAACTACATCCAATAATCACAGACCATTCGGCATCAACACCACCAACACGACTCAGTAAACATCACAAACCCACCACAAATCAACTCCAACCCAACAACCACACCCAAAAAAGAAAAAAGAATGGCCACCCAACCTTTCCAAATCCATACCGACGACGAACCCCCCTCCCCCTCTACAGCATCAACCTCCAACATCAACCTATCAACCTCCATCCTCACCCCCCACCAAAACACCCTCCTCCGCGCTTACCTGCTCCACCACCGCCAGGAAACCGAACTCATGAACTTAGTCGTTAGCCTAGAAACGAGCGTAAGGCGCGAGCGCGACCAGCAAGGGGTAGAGCATCTAGAGCGGAACCTGGCGAGGGCGCAGCTGCGACTTGCGGGGGTAAGAGAGGAGAGGAGGAGGGCGGAGGCGAGGGTTGGGAGGGAGATGGAGAGACTGAGGGGTGTGGTTGGGAAGGCGAGGGTGGAGGCGAGGATGCAGGGTGAAGAGATGAGGAGGATTTTGGGGAGGGAGAGGGGGGGTGGGGTGGTGTGTTTGCGGTAGGTTGACAAGTGGGCTTCGTTGGGGGTTAGTAGAGATTTTGTGGGATTGGCTTCAAGAACGGTGGGGACGGATTTGAGTGGAGTTATTGGACGGGATACTTGCATGTGGGACTTTTTCTCTTTCACTGGTCATTTGTAATTTCTGCGTCACTTTGTACAACACAGGATATGTTTTCTTTCTCAAAAACAATACACATTGATTTTCATTAAAGGTGGTCGTAATAGTACCAAACTCGCTCTGATACTTCATAACTTATTGTACAAGGGGGTATATGTGAAGGGCTGAGGGGAAATTTGGGATGAGCTATAGTACAGAATCAAAGTACATGCACGAGAAGCGCTCAAAGTACTTTTCGAAACATTAAACAAGAGAGATTTTGCCATCATTAGGGAAGTGGACTTGGTTTCTTTTTGCCTTGAACCTCGCTGAGTCATGGTTACACAAGACTTAAGCAGAATGCTCATCAAGACTGTTTTCGGAGTCCGTTTGTGCCTCTTCAGTATGAGGCTGCGAGATCTCACCGAGACACCACATGCATATCTCCCTGACATGCGTTGACCCGCAACAGCACTGCGCCACATGGTCAACATATGTATTACGGAGAGTCGTTTCTTCGTTTTCGTAACATCGTAAACAGAGCCATCGGTCGAGAAAACGACTGCGAAGGCTGCACTGGCACTGGTGAACTGAAAGATCCTTTCTTTGCTTTGGTATGCCCGAGGGAAGATGATCATCGCAAAACCGGCGTTTTCTTCCTTCTGTAGTTTGGTATAATGATCGGAGGACAGGTGATGGATGGGCTACGTTTGAAGCCACTGGTCCGGCAAATGTGCGTGTGCCAAGATTCAAGTCTAGGAAGTCGTCGACGCATTCGGGCGGGCCAAAGCTTTCTTCCTCAAGGGGTACATCAATAAATCCCTGATCGTGATAGGGTGCAGATGTGGCAGGTGATGGGGCTTGCCATTGTGGTGTAGTGAGATTATCTTTCAGGTGGTGGGGACTCAATATGGGTATCTCAGACGGTGAGAGAAGGATGAAACCGCTGTAGTTGGGCAGTTCGTCATCTTCGCATGGCTTCTCGAAAATGCTCTGGTATACACAATGGATTCGGCATTCGTTGCAAGTCGTAACTTTGCAGTTCGTGCAGGGACGAGACTCGGCGACACCGTCTATTGCCCCACATTCGACGTATTCACTGCATTCGTATGCATAGAAGAAGGACGACTTGACATGTCGTTCTCTTCGTATCTGGACACCTTTCCCGGAGCATCTTAACTTGCCAAGCAAGTTTTCTAGGCTACCAGGTTGTGGGATAAGTGTCTGGTATATAGATTTTGAGCACAACAGGAGCGCTAGTAGGTCGCCGGGGCAAAGACAAGAAAGGACGTTCTCAAGAAGACCATACTCTCGCAGAGCCACTAATAGAGGACAAGATGGTGTTGACCCCGCGGCGCTGTCCTGTCGGCTCTTCTTCCGCTTCTCCTGCATCTTGTCTGACGATCTCTGGCGCTTCAGTAGTCTTGAGGGCGTTGTCTCACCACACTCCCCATTTTGGGATTCGCAAGACAGCACAGGCCCACTTAAGAGCAACTGACTGTCTATTGATCGAAGGGCCATGATGATCTTGAAGCTCCTGGAAAGTGATAAGCAGGGGTATATGCAGTATGAAAAGGTAGTGCAAGGCCATCACGGACCATGCAGTTCGTGATGACAAACCACACTACTGGACATAGGCTGGGGATTTGATCATTTGGTAGAATGCTCCCGGACTGACGTACTTGACTTTGATGTCGAAATGTATATGCAGCTTCCCGCGCCTTGATAAGCGCTTAAAAGCTGGTCGACTCCAGGCCAGGGTCCATGTTATTGTCGTCACGTTTTGCCGGTTTGGCGGGTATTTCGGAAAGAAGACGCGATAGAGGCAGTCCTCCGCTGGAGTATAGACGTGATGGTTTGACAGGTTCGTTGGCGCGTAGTGAGGCGTCAGTAGTGTCAAAAACGGTATTACAACAGTGTTGTTGTGGGGACAAAATTCGAAAATCATCGGACCGGAAAGTGTGCGGGAATGAAACGGAACTTCGTTCCGATGACTTCCGAGCGCCAAATCAGGCCTGATGACATAATCGCACCTCGGTCACTCCCGCCGTTCACCCGTTACAAAACAAGAAAACCCCACTCACACTTCAGGGCGGCAGTCAGGGTGGATAGCCGTATCGGTGCAGACCCGAGATTATGCACATGGTGAGAATTTTCATTATTTATCACGAGCTCAGACCGCAAAGTTTCAAAGTGCACGGTTCCTGTCATTCGGCCGTTTGGCTTAATGTGGTTGGCAGTTGGGCAGCACGATTATACAAATGGGACTGCCAAAAATATATCTTAGAGACTAATGTTATGGCCCAACGATTTGGATACATATACGCTCTTAGCTTGCTCTTCCTCGGGATGAACCTTTCATCTGCTCCGGCATGTGTCTCACCAGGTCCGTTTTAGAGCATCACTCAGTTCTTCTTGTCAGGGATAGAGTAACAGCATCCGACGTCGAGTACGTTGTAAAAAGTGCAATCCCGTTGCACCCAGAACCCGCCTTTTTCGTAACATGTTGGCTTGGTGGTGCATATCCCAGAGGGGTCGGATCGTCCGCAGGGCGCTGGGTAGGGATCTGGGGGAGCCCCCAGAACAACAGATGCGAGGGCTGCAACGAAGAGGAACTTCATGTTTAAGGTGAATAAGTCCTGTAGAAATTGGGTTTGAAATTTAGGGAGTAGTGTGGAGATTATATCCCTGTGATGCACTGACTTTGGATTTGTGCAGATGCAAAAGTGAAGCTGTTTAAGTACTGTGTATCCTTGTCTGAGACGCCGCTGACATGGTTGTAGCACACTTGTTGTGTTCGTCTTATTATGCAAGATGAGGCAGGAACAAGTGCAGTGATTGGGCATCCAGAGACAGCGTGGACGATATTCGGTTCATGTTGGTTCTTGGCCATAGACCGTCGCGTTTAGCTCGAGTTAGCTGGGCGTGCTGTATATCGAGTCCGACCCCTCAGCCAATACGTTTGCCAGGCGTACGATCATCGATACACTGCTCGTATGGGTATATTGTTTCAGGACGCTTAGCGCGTCGGTTAATGTGGCTTCCCCAGATTTTTGTTTCTCCAGAACGCATGATAAGGCGGCACGCATCCGCTAGCGATTCTGCCATAGTACTGAGACGTCAGTATGTTTGTCATCCATGCACATGCCAGAGGCTCGTATAACCAAGGAAGCTGAAGTCGTATCCCCTGTTGGAATTGCGTGATGTCGTGGACTCCGAGGACTTCTGACCGTTGCGACGTTGTTGAGTGGACGCCACGTTTGGGGTGGCCATGAGCACCATGGAATACGATGTGTAATAGCTTTCAGGAGACAGCTATAAGCTCCTCGGAGTCGTGGTAGGCCTGCAGGTCAGTCGCAAGCCCTGGTCAAAAGCAATGTCATGAAAAATTCTCCTGCTGACCATAGCAAATCGAGGCGATGCGTGTCTTTGGTGGAGGCAGAGCTGGCTGGATGCACGAGGGAGGCATGGGATATCAGCGTGGCAATGTGGCGCATGGCAAGGCGAAGGGGGATTGTAAAGGCGCGCAGGCACAGGGGTGGCGTCTGTCTTTTGTAGTACGTATGCGTAGTGTACATGTAGTATGATGTAGTAGTGGTAGTAGTAGGACAGGCTGTGGCACCTGTGGCGCGCTTGGTGGTACAGAGACACGTGGGTTATCGCTGTTATCTGTGCCAAAGTCATGTGACCAGCGAGCGGGCATGGATGGTGGCGCGGCATTTATGCGCACCCGCACACATCTTCTAATTTTGTCCTAAGAAATTGGCGCATACTAGAAGAGTAAGGAAAGATGACCGGCACGTTCTCGGCTACGTCCGCTGTTGCAACTACTCGACAAGTCCATACGCGGAGTAAGCGGTGCCAGGGCCTGGGGGGTGAGTACGTCACTGAAACACGTTTTGATGTGTGTATCGCCGCGATGCAGCCTTTTTCTGCAGTACATAGTGTAGTGCTAACACACATGTAGCAGCCAGCAACGACGCCCGAATGTAGCCGCGCATGCCCAGGCTTAGACACGGCCAAGCATCGATTCTGTCGACGAGGACGGGATGAGCCTGCGAGAGGCCCTGGGGTGGTGAGTCGTGGCGTGGTATCAGCAGCCATGCCGTGTGCAGCGTGCAGGGAGCAAATTTGTTCCAAAAAGCTTCTAGAAGGAAAGTTTTTCGGGCAGTCCAGGGTGCATCGGGAGCCGGTTGGCGCCGACGGCTGCCCGCACGCTTGATTGGAAGGTGCCGGCGCCCCAATGTACAGGGGGGCCGCCAGCGTGCAGGGCCTTCTCCACCTTTTGTTCTCAGCATCAGCCGCATGCCCTGACCCCGACCTCACCTCATAGCACGGCCATGCCGTTGTTGCTCTCCCGCAGCTCTTTATCAGCTTCCGACAAACCTCCCAGTTCGTCTCCACACGCTACTTCATCCCCATCCGACGCCTGGATAGCCCTACGCTATCTCCGCTATGCCGACTTGATCGATACTGTCCACTCTTGAGCATTGCCCTTCAGATCAGGCTAGAACCTTGGCTATCAAAATGGCCATGGCTCCACGAAAAGGCACGCGACGGGCGTGTGACCCTTGCTCCGTCAGTAAGTCGCTGTCTCGGCTCTATACACATGCTCACAATTGACCCTCTTCTTCCGCTGTCCAGGAAAGGTGCGCTGCGATGGCAACCAGCCCTGTGCCAGGTGCGAGGCCGCCAAGTGGGACTGCACCTATCTCAAGACGCATGGAAAGAGCGGCCCCAAGGGACCGCGCCGGACCACTGAGGCCGCCATCAGGAGACTGCAAGAACGCAGTAAGACTGGCTGTGATAGATCGAGGAGCGCCAGTGAGACCAGCATCGACACCGGCAGTCCCGTTGACGAGCTGCCGTACATCTCTCCAATGCCCCCCTTAGGCGAACCCAGTACGTATTCCAATGGATGGCCTGACGTTATGAGTCCCACACTCTCCAGTACTCCCCAGGAACCCCAGAGAATACCGGTAGCCTGTCTCTCCCAGTATCTCGAAATCTACCAGGCACGTGGCTATGGCATATGGCCAGTCGTTGATGCCGAAACACTGACTGCACGACTCCTCACCCACCCCCACGATGTAGAGGCTTACGCATTGGCCACTGCCATATGCGCCGCTATCGTGAGCCAGTTCTCTATTGACGTTGAGTCGGGAAGTCCGGTCGAAGGCCCTTATCGCGTCTCAAGCAGCGCCTTCGAGTCAGAGGCAAGAAGAGCTAGAGATGAATCCGATCATCTGGAAAACATCACCATGTCGTCTCTTCTGAGCAGCTTCTTCTTGCATGTTTACTCTGCCAACGTCGGCCGAATGAATGCTTCAACCGTCCTGCTTGGAGAGGCTATTTTCAAAGCTCATGTCCTTGGCCTACACAATCCAACGCACTACCAGGTCATGAATCCAGAGCAGACACAGTGTGCTTTACGCGTCTATTGGCTCCTCTTCATTACCGAGCGCGCCCATTCCTTGCAGCACGATGTCCCGACAACCCTCAAGCGTTCACCAGATCTTCCGAGGCTTCAAGACTTGCGTGATGGATCCGTAACGCCTGCATTCGTCCAGCTTTGTCGACTTTTCAATATTCTCGATGTCACAATAACGGCGGATGCTGCTGGCGCTCGTCGAGCACTTGCCGTAGCTCAGCAACAGCTGAGCAGCGATGAAGACCCCCGTAGTCTCGAGAATGAACTCCAGCGTGCCGATATCACAATGACACAACAATGGATGCGTATTTTTCTGTGGCAGCACGCGCTCAATGTTACCAGCCTAAGCAGTCAGCCAAGTCAGGACGAAGAGTTTTCGTTTCGTTTCCCTGCCAGGGTGGCCCAAAACGTGCTCAGCAACTTAAGCAGTCTTTCACGCGAAAGTGTAGAGGCGCATGGACCCGGCATGGTATGACCCAACCACCACCAAGCTACTTACTCTGCTAACTGTTTCAACAGGAGTCTAAGCTTTTCGACGTGGCAAACTCACTTGCTGACGTTATGCTGATCATGCCGTCACTAAACCATGAGTCCTATTTCGATGTTGGTCCTAGAGACCTTATGCATTCGCTTTCTCAAGTGCTCGCTGGCTTTCGAGGCGGCAATCCCGCCGTCATAAATATACTACAAGAGAAGCTCACTGCACTTGGGCTCAGTGTTGGATCTCCACAGAGGTTATTGGAGCTCTCTTCGCCCGAGGAAGAGCAGGACGAGTACCAGCCTAGGCCCATGCGAGGCTCGTCACCATATGGGCCACTTGCAAACGACCCGCCGATAATGTCGCCTCTTCCACCCCCTATGAGCATGAACGGTAGATATTGATCCAGTTCGATGCTTCCAAGATGCATAGACTCATGAATCATTGGATGTTGCATTGCTTCCGAAAAGAAGCGTCAAGACAGTGAGGATCCTTGATTGGTTCGTATCCAATCTGGCGTCGCAAACTCTCAGCAAGATTTGCTTGCTTTGATAGAAACACTTCAATCATGGTGCATGTGATTCTCTACGGTAGTTCAAGAAACTGAAATTTGGCCGATGGGTGGCCGTAGACGAATGCCGATGAATCCCGCGAACACCAAGCCTGGCATGCCAGCGACCTAAACCCTGGACGGTACTCAGACTGAATGCGCAGTTGTACCAAAACGTTCTGCCCAGCTCTGCTCTCAACTTTGACGCATTAGATCCCCCATGTAAGCAGTTACCAGGATTTTCGACAGTCCCTTATGGAAAAGCCTTTTCGACACTCAAGCTTGTCCATATTGGCATTTGGGAAAGCCGCGCAATACACCGATATATATGTTGATATCCATGCCCAGAAAAGCTCATCAGCTTGAAATCAGCCTACAATGGCCTTGATGCTGCTTTTGTCCACGGATAATACAAGGGCAGTTGAGGCAGCTTGCGTAATCAAAAGCATTCTGGAAGATCCTAGCCTCAACCATCCGCCGATCATCACACTAGTGAATCACAGACACTGGAGCAAGGCTATATCGTTCACTACAGAACGTAAGCGCCGAAAGCGCCCCTTCGGTCAGGTGGGGCACCGTATACTCTTACGTGCCATTGTTGCGTAAACTTCACATAACGAGCGGACAGTCTATCTGGGTTTGAAGCAGCTATAAAAGCCAAAGGAAGAGTCATGGAGGCTAGTACCGATCAAGACTCTAGCGAATCCGCCTGCAGCGCTCTCCAGAAATCGCTTCCAGGGGAAAGGTTCAATCACGCTAACAATTGTATTTCGTTTTCAGAGTCTTTTCAAATTCACCGCAATCTCCCAGCTTTATACTCTGGGTCACTCTTGTTCTCAAAGTTTTTATTGTTATACGATTCCCCCTTCTTTTTTTAGTCAGACAATGTAAATTTCCAAGCTTTTATGATGAACGTCGGAGATGGAGCATGATGCACAACGCAACGCTTTTTGCATGTCTTTCTTAGTGATTTCTATTTGATGTACGATAGATCTCTACACATAACTTTCAGTGTCCCTGAAAGGCTGCTTAAGTTTACTCCCCCCTTCTATATCGATACTAGTCACCTGTACGACTTACAGTGTGGACTTCCATTATACGAACATTCTACTGATCTCATGAGAATAGATTCCGATGGACTTTCGTGACTGTTTTGTTTGCT